GAGCAAGGAGTGATAGGAAGGCAGGTAACACCAATTAGGATTGATTCAGATGGAGTAAGCCTCAAGAAATGTAGATTTTGACAGGAGGGCTGAGGAGTCATGGTATAGAAGCAACAAAGGGGAATGGGGTGCTAGTCAACCTTACCTCCCAACCCTGAGTCATGTTGGGGGTTGGAGACTGAGCATTCCACACTTTGAAGAACTTCAGAAGTAAGCTGTCTGGTTATGGCAAGAGGTAGAGGTGAAGTGACATCAATGGGAAAAGCAAAATCTTTTCATCAAATGGTGTTAGAACAACTGGATAGTTATATGCAAAAGAATAAAAATGGACCTTTGCTTAACACAACATATAAAAACTGATTCACAATGGGGGGGGCACCTGGGTGGCTCATTTGGTTAAGCCTCTGACTCTTGGTTTCTGCTCAGGTCATGATCTCATGGGTGGTGAGATTGAGCCCCATGTTAGGATCCCCATTCAGTGGGGAGTCTGCTTAGAGATTCTCTCCCTCTGCCCCTCCCCCTGTTCATGTTCTCTTTCTCTCCCTTTCTCTCTCTCTCTCTAAAATAAATAAATCAATCTTAAAAAAATTAACTCACAATGAATCAATGATGGAAATGTAAGAGCTAAGTTTGGAAAACTCTTGGAAGAAAACATAGAGGAAAAGCTTCATGACATTGGATTTGGCACTAATTTCTTGAATATGACACCAAAAGCATAGACAACAAAAGAAGAAATAGATAAATTGGACTTGATTGAAATTCAGTCAAGTCCATTGAAATTACAACTTTTTGTGCATCAAAGTACACCATCAAGAAAATAAAAAGACTAGGGCAGTTCCTCAAAATGTTAAACATGGAATTGTCATATGAACCCAAGAAAATTGATAGCGTATTTTCACAAAAATGTATACAAATGTTTATAACAGCATTGTTCATAATAGTACCAAAGCAGAAACAACCCAAATGTCCATCAACTGATGAGTGGCTAAATAAGATGTGGTATGTCCATACAGTGGAATATTATTCAGCCATAAAAAGGAATGAAGTACTGACACAACATGGATTACCTTGAAAACATGCTAAGTGAAAGAAGCTGATGGCAAGAGAACACATACACAGTTGATCCTTGATCAACGTGGGTTTGAACTGCATGGGTCTACCTATATGTGATTTTTCGACAGTCCAGGACTATAAGTGTATTTTCTCTTTCTTACGATTTTCTTAATAATGTTTTCTTTTCTCTAACTTACTTTATTATAAGAAAACAGAATATAACACACAAAATATGTGTTAATTGACTGTTTATGTTATCAGTAAGGCTTCCGGTCAGTAGTAAGCTATTAGTAGTTAAATCTGGGGGGAGTCAAAGTTATACACAGATTTTCAACTGCACAGGGGATTGGCATCCCTAACCCCATGTTGTTCAAGGGTCAACTGTAGTATGATTCCATTTATATGAAACATCCAGAATAAGCAAATCTACAAAAGTAGAGAGTAGATTAGTGGCTCCCAAGGAATGGGGAGTAACTGCTAATGAGTTGTGCTTTGGGGCTTCTTTTGAGGGTGATGAAAATGTTCTGGAGTTAGGTAGTGATGATGGTTGCATAACTTTGTGAGGGTTGCACAACCTGTAGTGATTTCTATACTAAAAATCACTGCATTGTACATGTTAAAAGGTGAATTTTTTGGTATATAAATCTCAGTTTTTAAATATAGAGTGAAGGAAAGGAGTGAGGGGGAATACGTTCCCCCTCACTGTAGATTCAGAGATTTCAGAGGGCATAGGTGGAAACGTTTAGGAGAGAGGGAAAGCATGAACGTCTGTCTGGACAGAGAAGGAAGGTGACATCTGGGCGGTGATGGGGGCCTGGAGGAATAGGAGGCTTGGAGGGATGGGGGGGGTGGTCAAGTGTTCCAGGAGCCCTGGCTCAGCAGATCCCGGGGTTTGGAGGGACCGAGGCATCTCAGGAAGCCAATAGGCTCAGCCTCCCTGATAGCGCTGGGATGTGGTCACAGCCCAGATCACTGGAGGAAAAGAAGGGGGCTCCCAGTGTGGCTACCTTGGCATCTAGAGATGGGCGTTTCCAGAAATAAGGCAGTTGAGCAAAGCAGGCTGGCAATGGGAAGGGGACACTGTGCCTTCCTAGGCTTGAATGTGGTTCCCAGATCTTAGACTCCACGTACGAAGTGAAGTCCTGTGAATCCCCAAGAGAAAGACCAGATTCGAAAATGCCAAGAACCACTGCACTCTGTCAGAGCTCTCTGTACGAAAACAAGCCAGAGAAGGTTAAATAAATAAGCAAAAGGGATCCAGGGCCAGGGGCCAACCTGAGTGGTTACTTCCTGCTGATGTTTATTGAGTTAGGTGCTGTTACATGAAAATTGAACTATCAGAAACAGGTGGCCGGTTTGTCAGGCATTCATGCAGTAGTTTATTAAGCATCTAGAAATGCCAGGGACTGTGCTTAGAATGCTGGATGCAGACTTGGTACAGCCTGCCAAGAAGTTTGTGGAATGGGGACGGGGAACTATAAGTTAATCTCTAAGCAAGTAATTACAAGATAATCCATTACAAGCACGTAAGAACCAGGAAAGGAATAAGGAGCTACGATTCTGTACCGCAGGAATCAAATGGAACCTGGGGGTCAGGGCGTTTCTCTGAAGAAATGACATTTCAGCTATCCACCAGAATGGGGTGGGAAGTGAGGGCGATGCATAGGAAGGCCCTGGGGCAGGAAGGAGCCTGAGGCCTGAGCTGGAGTTAAACCTTGAGCAACCGCAGCAGAGAGAAGCAGGAAGAGCCAGATCATGCAGGCCTTCTGGGCTAAGTGGGAGATTTGGGGCGTCATTCCAAGAACAAAGGGAATGGAGGGGGACAATAGAGGGGGAAAGACAGGGGACGGCAAAGCTCCAAGAGGGGGCAGTAGAAAAGAGTGGTTAAGGAGCAGGGAGTCTGGAGGCAAATGGCATGGGTTCAAATCCCAGGTCCGCCACTTACAACCCATGTGACCAAGATCCAGGTCAGCAAACCTCTCCGTACCTCAGTCCCCTCCTCTGTAAAATGGGATAATAATAGTACTTACTTCAGAGGATCATATCAAGAGGATTCAATGATAAAAGCTTGGCTCATACTGAATAAGGAAGAATTGCTGACACGGGTAAGCTCAGCAGAAGCAACCCTCTCCTGGGGACGCTCCCCCACCTCCAGACAGCCATTTTTTGGTGCTAAGAGCTGTTGGCTTTCAGGAAAGTTCTGGCTTCTCTAGTGGCTGCCACTTTGAAGGCAAGAGTCTCTTGGCCTTGGAAGACCATGCTGGCAGCATCATCCTTGTGGCTCTGGCTCTCCAGCGAGCTCGGAGAGAACAGGGACCGTGCTGACCCTATATCTCATCAGGGCCTGGCACATGGGAGGGGCTCAGTACCCGCTGGAGAGATGGATTTCGAATGAATGAATGAATGAATGAATGAACAAATGGATGGGGCTGTGGAAGAGTACTTACACTCTGCATCAATGACGAGCATTCCCTAGGTGAGGGCCATTCCTGTCCCAAGGCCCTTACATCCATAGTTTGTTCGATTCCATTCTCACAGCCATCTTGTGAGGGGGCTACCAGGAGACACTTCCAGTAGGGGAACGATCTTGGGAATGAGTCCTCTGTGGGGGAGCCCTAGTCATACATCAGGGACTCTAATTATTGAGAAGTGTGTTTAAGTTGTCACCCCAAAGAAGGGCTTTTGGCTAGAAGTCGGGATCCTGGAAGCAGGAATTCAGCTGGAAAGCAAGCAACGCTTGAAATAGTTTCTCTAAACTCGAGCTGCATATACTTTATGGCTATGATCTCATCTTCCTTAGCAAGGCACAGGAGTGACGGGGGCATTTTACTTGTTTTTGAGAGGGAGAAGTGGTGCATCCTAGTGAGGCAGAGCCCCACCCCACCCCCACCCCGGCAGCCTGGCGGGGCTCAGAGGAGAACCCAGGCATCCTCAGTTCCTGGCTGGGAGAACGTTCCCCAGCACAGCCCCACACCCCATCTCAGAGAAGACAGGGAGTAGATCAACTGGAAAGACAGTGGGAGAACCGCCTTTGATCTTCCCCTGCCCTTTCCTGTTCCAGTTGGAGTCCCACACACACAACTTCCTGCAGGCTGCTACCCCCATTCCTCCCAGACGGCACCGGCACCCCGCACGGCAAGCTGCCCCCTTCCCCAGCAGCCCTGCTGGTTTCTTCTCCAGAGACTATTATTTTGGGAGAGTGCTGAGTTCAGCACTGCGGCAAGGTGCAGTCTGAGGAGCGCTTCTGTCCTTAGCTGGCCCTTTGGAGCTGGCCTCGGGGCCAGGGTGGCCCTAAGTGCAGGGGCCCCTCCTACCACAGGGTCACTGCGTTCAACCACCTACCATCCGTCAGCCCCAAGGCTGTCAGGGCAGGTGGCACCGGAACTGTGGGCAGGGGAAGCAGAGCTGTCCAAGGGGCACAGCCCAGCCAGACCCCTGCTCCTAGAAAAAACGACCAAGGTCTTGCTCTCGCAAGCACCCCAGAACCCGAGCCCCCACCCACCAGCCCAAAGCCTGGGGTCACCAGCTTCCCAGGGTTTGCCTTAAAGCCAAAGGAGCAGGCTGGCTGGCCTACGGCCAGCAGATTGCACACGGGGTGAGTGGCAGGGCCAGGACAAGGAGCTGGGGCGACAGGCTTATATAAGTCCTTCTGCCCAAACGCCACCGGGATTAGTGGCCCGCAAAGCCCTGCTCCAAAAGAGGAGGGGCCTCAGCCAGGACTGCAAACTGAGTCCGGCTTGGAGTAGGCCCAGGTCCGCCCAAGGTATCTGTGTACTGGGTGGCAGATTGGCCGCTGAAGCCCAGGCAGCTGCCCGCCCTTCTCCTTCCGCTTACCAGAGGTCTCTGGTCCTCCAAGTGGGCCCCTGGGGTGGGGACACGCAGGCTGAGAAGGGTGCCCCCTGCAGAGGGCCCCACAGCTCTAAAAGTTTCTTCTGTTCCAGGTGTCCATGCACTGGACAATGAGGCTGGCCGCGGCAGCCCTGTTTCTGAGTCTCACGATGGTGGTCACCAGAGACGTGGAGGACTTGTGTTTGTACGAGGCTCTGTCTGACGCCGATGCTGTCCTCTGCAAGTAAGGCTGGGCGGGACTCCGGAAAGCAAGCGGGCTGGCCGAAATGGGGCTTGAGATCTCAGGGAGGGGTGTCTGCAGAACCAGGGAGGACTGTCTCCTCAGGCAGCCTCTGTGGACTGGCTGAGAGTAAGCGGGCCTTGGAGAACACCTGGATGGAGGACGGCATTAAGGAAAGAACTTGAGACAGGCTCCTCCTGCCTTCCAGACGGCAGTCTCCCAGCCCCAGAGGGTATACGGGTCTGGTCAGCTCCCCCTCGTACCCCGGGCCTCCTCCGGACCTGAGAGGCTGGCCCCATCCTCCCTGCTGGGACCCTGAGGGACCATCCCTCCCCATAGCCCGGACTGCTCCCCTCCCCCCAGCAAAGAGGCATTTTAAAGAATATGGCAGTTGACAGAGGGCGTGGGATTGGGCGCTCCCTGTGTGAGGGCGGTTGTTTGCTTTCCAGGGACGAGGACCCGGGAGTGTGGGACAGGTGGGCCTTTTAGGGAATGTGGCCTCTGGGTGTTGTCTAGGGAAGAGGCCAGGCGTCAGGGGTGGGCTTTTTCCCTTCTGAGGGCATGAGCTTCTCCCCACCTGCATCTGCTCTCTCCTCCCTGACCACCCGTTAGAAAAGCCAGTCCTGATTGTCCTGGACTCGTGGCTCATCCTGAGGGCGGCCCGGGCCACTTTGCTGCCAACCCTCTCTGCCAGTTTAGTGGCCAAGGAGGCTGGCATCCCACTGAAGCCATCAGAAGTGAGAGAGTAGGGAAGAACTCTCCTTTCTTACTCGGTCTCCTTGCGTACATTTGAATTCTTACAAATGTAACTTTTAGAAAGATAAGTAATGTTTTCCCTCAAAAAGGTGGCTGAAACCCCTCTCCCCTCCCAAAAAAGATGATACACATTCTGCTCTTATCAGTATATTTTTAAAACTCTGGTGAAACAATTGTGGGTGAAGTTTTGTGTGGAGGGGAATGTGGCTGCCTCTCACAGGTGGGCTCCAATCCTCTAGGTGCTCTGCGGAGTGGAAACTTCCCAGGGGTGGAGCCATTTTACTCGGATAGGCAGAAGACCAAGTCCTCAGGAGCTGGGGAGGTCAGCTGGGCCGGGTCACGATAAGGCCCCATTCCAGAGCACCTCTGTGCTTCCCACGTTCATTGTGGAACACTAAGAAAGTGATCATATGTGTATGGTCACTGGGGGTGACCGGCCTGGGCCCCAGCTGCCCTAGGCTCTGCCCTGCAGACCTCCACACACGCGTTGGTGTCCTGGTGGCCTGAGAGCCCTGGGGCAGAGGGAGCTCCGATGTGTGTATCGAGCATCCTCGTATTGCCGATGATTAAATAACCTGTCCACGGTGCTCACACACCTTACAAGGGGCAGAGCTGGGGTTCAGCCCCGCTTGTCTGACTCTACACTTAATACTCTTTCCCCACTCGCCTCCGGCCACTGACCTTCATCCAGGGACTCGGAGCTTCTCAAACTCGAGGAAAGGGGAGCTGTCTTAGTCCCCTTCGGGCAGCTCTAACAAAATGCCAGGCAAGGCGCCTTAGAAACAGCAGAAATTTACTTCTCATCCTTCTGGAGGTGCCAGCAGATTCCATGGCTGGTGAGAACCTGCTTCCTGATTCATAGATGGCTGTCCTCTCGCTATGCCTTCACCTAGTGGAAGGCACCCCCTGGAGGCCCCGCTTCCTGATGCTGTCACACTGGAGGCTGGGGTCCAGCCTATGAATTGGGGGAGGGGCAACTGCAAGTCAGTCCTTTGCAGGAGCCATTCTCAGGACTGCCTAGAATACGCCAGCAGACCCCCAGTTTGAGAAACATGAACTTACCACACTAAGGTTGCCTGGTAGGAAATGTCCCATTATAAACCATCACAGCAAAAGGGGAGGTTTGTCTTTATTGCTATTGAAGATTTTCATTGGTAAAAGGTCATCACTAACTGAGAACACATTACGGACATGCCAGACCCCCGAGGAGTGGTCAGTACCTCCTTTGCTAGACCTCCCTCCGCAAGAACTCTGCTCAGCTCAGGCTTCTCGCCTTGCCAAGAGAGCCCCCAGAGAAGCCGCTATTTAGAGTCTAAAAGGGAATTTGTAAAGTTAGGCCTTAATACCTGAGGGAATGAATCTAGAAAAGAGGAATTTTATGTATAGGGACAAGCAGTAGGAAAACACTGTTAAGAGAAAAACTCTTCCAGAGTAATACCTTACCTACAAGTAGACTGACAAAAACACTGAGATCAGAATCTAGGTTCAGGGGCGCCTGGGTGGCTCAGTTAAGCATACGACTCTTGATTTCAGCTCAGGTCACGATCTCAGGGTCGTGAGGTCAAGCCCCACCTTGGGCTCTGCGCTAGGCATGGAGCCTGCTTAAGGTTCTCTCTCTCCCTCCCTCTGCCCCAACCCACGTGTGCTCTCTCTCTCTCTCTTAAAAAAAAAGAACTTAGGTTCAGTCTCCACGAAAGAACCATAGTCGTCTAACCCGCACGCTTTGGGTGAGTGCACTCAGCACCCCGCTCCCGCTGTCTCCGCTGGAGCCTGGGAGCTGCCCCCCCCAAAGCCCCCTGGCCTGTGCTGGAAGCTCCGCCCCTGAGAAGGTGCGTCCCGTCTGAAGGCAGGGGCCGCCTCTCTCCAACTCACCGCCCTCCTCCTAGGTTTGCCCCCAACACTGCATCGAAGGAGTTGTGTCTTTGCCCCCTGATGGTCCTTCAGACGTTGGGGTGTCATGCTCTGCCTTCACCCGCAGCACTTCTATGCTGGGCGTTCTCCTCCATCCTCGGTTCTTCCCCGGGGGCCTCGCTTCTGGGCCCCACTTCTGGAAGTGTCGGTTGCAGACAGACCCATGATTCTTTTCCAAGGCTGGCGCCCCGCGCTTTGACCCCGAGAACCGTGCAGGAGAGGCTGGGGTGCCCACCAAGCCCCCTCAGACCTCTGTGAAGCCGGCCTCACCTCCACGGGCCTTCCTGTCATCCTGGCTTTCAGGACCACGGAATCCTGAGCCCTTCTGCAGGGACAGCCGGGGAGCCGGTTCCTTCTGATCCGCCTCTTACAGCGCTGAAGGGACTCCCGCGGCCATCCCGTCGGACGGAAGCCCCGAGAAACGCAGCGACTCCCCGGGGAGGCCGTGTGGCGCAGGGGAAGTCAGGCCGCTGGGGTAGTTCTCCACGGCTGCACAAATCCCCCCAAACAGAGCGGCTGCTCACCTTTGTTGTGGCCCGTTTTCTCGGGGCAGCTCGGGCTCAGAGCCCCTCAGGAGGCTGCCCTAAAGCTGCGGCCTCATCTGAAGGGTGGACTGGCCGGGGTGGGGTGCTCGGCTCCCGAGCTTGCTCGGGTGGCTGCTGACAGGCCTTGGGCCCCTGAGTGCCACGTGGCCTCTCCGTGGGGCTGTTCACCACACAGCAGGTACTTGCCCCAGAGCCAGACTCTGAGGCGGAGAGCGTGTGAGAGGAGCCACAGGTTTCTTAGAACATAATCTTGGAAGCCACGTCCCACCGCTGCTGCCCTCCCTTCTCCTTCCCAGCGAGTCACTAAGTCCAGCCCCCACTCAAGGGGAGGGGTCACACTCAGGTCGGAGGACCAGGAGGCGGGGATCACTGGGGGCATCATGGCCACTGTCGACCACACCCACATCCCTGTCCCCTCAGTTCACCAACGTCGAGACCCTGGGCTGGTTGCTTCGCTTTCTTTGGGCCTCTGTTTACCCACTTGGGAGAGGAAAATAATAGCAAAAGCTGCTCTGAGTTATTGTTGTACGGAATGAAATAACGTGTACATGATGCACCTGATCGATCCCTTCCCTTTCCCCCAGCCCCATATGCAATGTGAGATAGTGACCACGCTGGGACCAGAGCCCCCTGCCGCTCTCCTCCCCTCTCCCAGGTCCTTGTCAAGTTGACTCAAAAGTGCCCCAACTCTGGGGGTGGAGACAGAACGTGCCCCACGTGAGATACCCCATGAGCAGGAAGAGGGCACAGGTTCTAAAGGGTGTTCCTACTAAATTCAATTTTCGATTCATTCATCTCAGGCTTGTCCAGATCTTTTTTTAGGCTGATTGGATCATCTGTTTTAATCAATGACCCACTTGATCATTGCTATTAATCAACATTGTGCAGCTCACAAATCAAATAGATTTGCCTTCTGTGTCCTGATCCAAGCCTTTGGTAAAACTGCTGAATAGGACAGGCCCGCACATGCCCCCGTGGCCTGGCCTGCATGTGGGGCAACAGGTGGTTTTCAGACACCAGGCTGGAAGCGCCCCACGGTGTGACCAGGGCTGGTGGCACGGACCTAATCCCTGGTCCCCTGGGGCCTACCTTTCCAGGGCCCACTCTGTGGCTCGAGGACCACTCACGGAACATCAACGTGCTGCCTTTGCTAAACTTTTTAAACATTTGTAGCAATTCCACCGGGATAAAAAGAGGAGACCCATTTGTCCCCTGGGGAAGGCCCCTCTGGTCCCCTGTTTCCCTTCTCCCTGCCCCTGGCCCTTCCCAGTTCTGGGCTGTGTGCTGACTCTTCATCTCTCTGCCAGTGGAGGGGCCCCTCTATCGGCCTTGGACCTTGCTAGCTGCAGTGACAGGGAGTCATGGCAGGAACAAACCAAACTGTCTTTAAAATGTTGCTGTTGGGGCGCCTGGGTGGCTCAGTCAGTAAAGCGTCCGACTCTTGGTTTCTGTGCAGGTCATGGTCTCAGGGTCGGGAGATGGAGCCCCACGTCAGGCTCCACGCTGAGTGTGGAACCTGCTCAGGAGTCTCCCTCTCCCTCTCCTTTCCCCTCTCCTGCCACACGGGTGTGCTTTCCTTCTCTCAAAAAAAAAAAAAAAATTAAAATGTTGCTGTGAGGAAAAATGAAAACCCATCCCTAAAATTTGTTAAAAGTGATCAAAACCATGGTATCCAACAGGATTTACTATAACCTCACCAAGAGGTATAAGAAACAAGTGAGCTGAGCGAACCAGAAGTTGAGCTAACTGGCTCGAGGCTCACCGGGGGTGCTGGCCCACAGAAGCTGTCCTGCGTCTGCGGGTGTCACAGGCTCCGGCTGTCAGCGCTCAAGGTGGGGCCTCAGGAGCCACTGGAAGAGTGGGGTGGGAGGGGAAGGTGGGACAGCCCACCAGGAGGCTGTCCTTGCCTTCCTCCCAGATCCAGAACTTGGGAGCCTCTCCCCCAGAGCTCTTCCCTCATTATCTCCTCACTGGGTCTCCTCCCGGCATTACCCGCAGCAAGGGAATCGTAGCCGGCTCTGGGTGACCACTGGCGGGCCGTGGAGCTGCTCAGCCATGCTGGGCTTTCTGGCGAAGGCTGAGGACCCACCCCTTCTCTGTCAGTGAATCATCTTAACCAAATGCACCCTACAGAGACCCTGGGTCTAGGTGATTAAAAAATGACAGTGGGACAGAGAGGAAAAGCAAATTAAAAAAAAAAAAACAAAAAAACAGTTGGCACAAAGATTTTGTTTTTTTTAAATGTCTATTTGACAGCCTGGTTTACATCCCTGAGTTTTGGTTACAGGTGAGCCCTTAAGAATATAACCCTGGTGGAGTTTTGGGAACAGCCCTCCCAGTGAGCTGGATTCTCAGAGCATTCGTGCTGTTCAGCTCTTTGCAGGGAAAAAGCAGACAAATGAATTCGTAACTACTGTCTTAGTGACCAGATAGTCTACCCCCTAGGAGGCATTTGCATTTTGAAAGTGCAGGGAATGGCATGTCGAGAGCCTAGGTTATTGGGCAAGGCTTGACCCAAAGATGTGGCTTATGGAACCACCAGTGAGGATTGCAGACATGGAGAGGGTCTGGACTGTTCGGGGTTGACAAATGCCTGTACCCGCGAAGAAGGCTGTGCTCACTTGCTAAACCTTTCTTCATGTAAAGAGAACATTCCTGGAAAGCAATGCGTAAATTTTGTTCTTATAAACCCAATCCTACTCTAAAGACACTGACCAGGTTTGCCTAAGGATGTACATTCTTTCTGAGAAGTAAATACAGATGACAGTTAACACCTTCTGACCACTGATGACACGCTGGCTCTGTTGTAAACATTGATCGCCTACTTTACTCCTCACACCAGCGCTGTAAGTAGGTACTGTCAGTGTCCCCATTTTACAGGTGAACAAACTGAAGCAACAAGAGGTCAAGTAACTCTTAAACCACACTGGTCACACTAGTTAAGTGACCACAACTAGTTCGTAGCAGGCCTAGGATTCAATCCCACTTGATTCCACATTCTCAACGGTGCTAGGCTGAAGTGTGTGAGCCCTCCAGGCTCCCCTAGAACTGACATGAGCTGACCATCTCCCTATCTCCATAGGGGACTTGAAGTTTTCTACCCAGAGCTGGGGAACATTGGCTGCATGTTTGTTCCTGACTGTAACAACTACAGACAAAAGATCACCCACTGGGCTGAGCCCCTAGTCAAGTTCCCTGGGGCCTTGGAGGTAAGTGAGCAAGCCTGGCCTGGAGGAGGCTTGGTTTCCCTCTGAGCGTGCTCATCTGGGTGACTTGAAGCCATGTGCAGGGCCATTTGGGTTGGGTAGACCACGGATGCCACAAGCAATGTGCCCTCCTGAGAGCAGCCCCATGGCCTTGGAGGAGGTTGGGGAGGGGGGCACTGCAGACTGGGAGCTTTAGCAGGACTCTGGGGCTGCTCTGCTGGGGCCTTTGCCTGCTCGCGGAGGAGCCTGGCTCCTCAGTGTATGTGGAGACCAGCTGGTGTGTGCTTTGGAGTCAGCAGAGAAAAGGAGGAGCGAGGGAGTCCTTTCTCAAGGTGCGAGGTGGCTGGGCGTTCGGAATGATCTTCTGAATGCGGAGGAGATAGTTTGTCATGGGCAGTGCTTCTCACGTAGGCTAAGCAAGCAGAGAAGTGCATCTTGACTCCGTCATTGCAATATGAAACCCACCTAAGAGTTTGCTCACACTTGTCTGAAATAGAAGATTGAAGCATTTTTAGGAATTGGAAGTAAGTATTCTTTCTACTGGGAAATGACTAGTACTATCTTGTTCTGGAAGCTTCCCTTAGTCTGGGGATGTGGTAGCCTGGGGAAGGGCCATGTGAGTAGCAAGTGGGACTGTGGCCGCTCCCTCCAGCAGCCAGGCCAGGTCCTGGGGGCGCTGCTCCAGCGTTCTCGTCGCTGTTCCTTTCTTCCTCGACCCCTGGGCCACACTGAGCCCCCAGAATGTCCGTGGTGGAGGGCGGCTCTTGCTTCGTCTGCCGTGTTTTACTAGGAGGTGCCCGGGGCAACCTGTGTACAAGGACCACGATGTGTCCAGGAACCAGGCCACAGATGGGTGGAGACGGAAGGGCCACGGTCAGGACGTGACCTCATGCACACCATGCACACAGTCTTCCGGTCCCCTCCGTGCGCCGCGGAAGGGGGAGGCCCCTGCCGGCTCTTTCTCTCTGTCCGTCCCGCCTGGGGACTTGCAGTGCTGCTGTTGATCAGGCCTGATGGTGGCCAGGACAAACACAACAAAATAGCAAGTTCTGGGGTGGGGATCGCAGGTTCCTCAGAGGTGGAGAGTAGATTTTTTTTCTCTCTTTCTGGAACTGTTTTCACTATCACGGAACCAACAGACTGTGATGCGTTCCACCATTTATCGGATTGGGAACATGAAGCTTTGACTGGCTATCGTGTTTGCCACCGTGACAAACATCCTTTCCTCTGGGAGGCTAAGCAAGCAAGCAATGAGGAGGCCTTCTGGGTCTCCTCTCCCTCAACCCTGCCAAGGCTCACGCACGTGACCATGCATGCACACGCACGTGCACACATGCGCCTGTCAGCCCTCCTCCCTGGAGACCCGGGGCCTGGGTCACACCGGTGGACATGTGGGAGAAGCCGAGGAGACATCGGCCACTAAGTAAGATTCTAACACTTGGAACAGGACATGGAGGGCTGCAGAAGCAGGGCAGGAGCCCAGTCCTATAGGGAGAGTATAATGCTGCTCCTGTGACAAGATGCTCGACTTCGCCATTAATGCACTTGTCCCTGGCTCTGCCACTGAAGGAGTAATGAGGTGGAACCAAAATACTTTCATAGCCCAGTGACTGTCCCAGGAGGGATTCTCAGACTCTGCATGATATTATAGCAGATGTCCACTAGATGGCAGTGTAGACTTCTCTGAGTACCTGGTGTGCTTGGTTTGAAGCAAGCTTGGGAAGTCCATATTTGATTCAGCTTGGTCCACATGGATTGTCCTGGGGTGTGGGCATGGAATGCAGAGAAGACGTCACCCCCAACAGGTCATGAAATTTCCCACCCTGTCTCAGTCCAGAGGCGGGATGGGGGAGAAAACCTGGAGACTTCTGAGGGACACAGAGCTGTGTTAAGAAAGCCAAGGAGGGTAGAGATTTCACAAAGAAAAAGTTGGTCAAAGTGATAGAAACAAAGGAAGAAAAGTAATATTCTACTACTATAGAACCTGACGTTTTTTTGAAATTTAACTGATGCTTGACAAGACAGATTCAGTTAGAGTTCCAAAAATAAATAAATAAATAAATAAACCAATCGAGTGGTACCCACATTAATGCTGGATATTATTCATGTGTCATTTCATTTAAAGTTTTTATCAAGTCTGCAAGTGAAGTATTTCTTTAGTTGAGACAGTTACTAGCAAGTGACAAAAGCCAGCTCCAACTGGCTTATGCCAAAGAGGGAAGAAATTGTTGGGTCACAAACTGAAAACTCCAGGGATAGCTTCAGGCATGGTTGGATCCAGGTGCCCAAACAACATCACCAGAAATCTATTTTTCCCTTTTCTCTACTTTTTTCCCTGCTGGTTTTATGTGTAAATAGACTCTTTCCTTGTGGTGGCAAAGACAACCCCATCAGTGTCAGATTTGTGTTACTAGTTTATCAGTCCCAGTGGGAATAGATTTGAGGCTTTTCAACCATTAAAAATCCCAGGATTTGTCCTGCTTAGATCACATGCTTATCCTTGAACTGATGACCGTGGGTAGCCCCATTAAATCTCCAAAGGCTGAGAGCAGAAGAGGATGGTTCCTCCAAAGGAGAATCAAGGTGCTAGTTGTCAGAAGAGGGAAAAGATATTGGGTCAGAAAAACAAGAGAAGTTCCTGTAGAAGGAATTAAGCAGAGCAGGTGCAGAGCTAGAAGGTGGCAGAGCCAGGTCTGCCCATCTCCAAAGGCTTGACCACCAGACTAGTGGCAATGGCTCTCAGGGGAGACATCAGGGTGCCGGTAGTGTTGGGAGGGCTTGCTGAATGAAGCTTTCCTGGGACAGGAAGCAGTGGTTGCTATGGAGGGTGGTGATGAAGAGGGGGAGACAGGCCAGGGACAATGGGAAATGAGAGGGTGGGTAGATCTTCCCTGAAGGGGTAGAGGGAGAAAACACCTCCAGAGAGCAACTGGATAAGCGGATGCTATCCTGGGAATAGGGTCCCTCAAAAGTGCAGGCAGGGGGAGCCCTTAGTGACAGAGAAGAGGGTCGAAAGCATTTCCTCTGGGCCCAGGGCCTGGTAAGAAAGGGCAGGCAGGTAAGAACTGGCTATGTGAGGAAAGTGCCTTGTTTCGAAGGTGATTAAAGCAATGCTACCAAAGCAGCAGGTGCCGGTGGGGCATGCCTTGGGAGCCCCCCACCATCACCAAGCAAGCCCAAAGGCCCTGGAAGGAGGGGTGCAGTGGGCCTGGGACAGTGCCTCTGTGCCTACCAGAGGTCTTCCTGCCTGCACACCTTTGCTCAGGCCACTGCCCATATGTGGATCCTGCATTCTGGGACACCCTGCCTGCACCAAAATGCCTCTTCTTCTAAGAAGCCTTCCCTGACTGCCTCCCTCTTAGCCCTCTCCTCATCCCTGGCTGGTCTCTTCTTTCTCTGAGCTTTTTAAATATCCCCTACCCACCAGATTTAGTGTTTACTTCCTCTGGCTTGTATTGTGGTTGCTTATTTCTATCTCCCAGAGCCTTGACCAGTGTATAAGCTCTAGGAAAGTAAGACACACACACACACACACACCACCAACCCCCCCCGCCGCACAGCCCCTTCCCAGCATTGCAGACCCCATGACCAGGTGAGTGAGTAGAGAATGAATGAATGGCAGGTGGAAGGACACCTCCTGGAATGTGAACGTGAGATGTGTGAGTTCCACGGTTTGCCTTTTAAGCCCCTGGGTGTCCAGGTGAGCCTAGTGGACCCTGAAGCCAGCCCTAGTCTCTCATCCACCCAGGGTGGGTGGGGGCTGAGGGCTGGGAAAGGGAAAGCCAGGAGACAAGTCCAGCGGGTTTCCCAAAAGGCAAAGTTGTGCAGGGAAATGTGGACGGTTCCTGTGCCAACAGCCCTGAGAGCTGAGAGGTGTCCAAATAAGAAGCTTTCTCTCCGGGTGCTTTGACAAGTATTAAGAGGCAAATGTCTTAAAATGCATCCCTCTGAAGATGATGCAAACTGAAAGGACCCCAAGAAGCTTCTTGACTGAGGCTCATTCTTCACCTTGAATTTCACCAGCTGGAATCCTTTTGAAGTGAAGAGATTGCCTTTAAGTGGGGGAATGTGCATTGCATTAGAGAGAAGGAACAAGGAGTCCTGCTGGCCCTCAGGTTTCCAGGCAGGCTCCGCTCCTTTCTCCTTCCCAGAAAGCAGGTGACTCTGAGCCTCCGCCTCCTCGGTGGGAAGGACATAGCCCCATACCACCCCGGGCCCGCAGTGTCTGTGTTGCTGCCTCCTGGGGGCTACCTTCTTGCCCTCACGGGCCCAGAGCAGGGAAATAAGTCGGGACAGACAGGTGGTGGCATCTCAGATTCTCGGTGCTCAAAGAGACCTCGGAGCTAACTAGCCCGCCTCCCATCCTTCTCTTTACACACAGAGCAGAAAAATCGGGGCTCCTCTGGTCACAAAATGATTAGTGGAGGCGGGACACAGGGCTCCTGACACCCAGAGAAAGGCTGGTTAGAGCAGCCCCGGAAAGACGGGGCAGATTCTCTCATCCGGGGTAAGAAGGGGCAGGGGAGGAGCATGCGTACATGGTGACTGTGGAGGAACGGGGAGAGTGGCGGAGGGAGGGCTGGTATGACTCTTGGGTTTCTGTGATGGTGAGGCAGGGGAGTAAGGGTGAAACTGAGCATCCAACTTGTCCTCCAAAACAAGGTGCTTTGGAGAGTGAAGGGGCATGTGGTCGATAATTATCAGGATGGCAAGGGTGATAGGGCACCGTCCCATTATTACGGCTTCCAGCAAGGGGCACAAGAGAACTAGATCTACAGGGACAAAGGCCGGTGGCAGCGACCCTGCAGCTGGCCGCCCACACCAGAAGTGTGCAGGGAGATAAGACGCACCTGAGCTATTGAAATGCTGGCGGGAAAGAGCCAGTGCTGAGGGCAATGCCCCATGCAGCAGAAATTGGAGAGAATGGGCCCATTGGAGAAGTTCGCATCTGAGAAGAAGAACCACAGGGGTGGTAGAGGTCAAACAAAGGGCAGGAGGTTTCC